ATCATCAAAGTTGTATTTAATGGTTTTTGTGTTATTATACTACTTTTCATCGATTAATTCAATTTTATTTTGTTTTATGTTTTTCCCATCCTTGTAATGAGTCTTCATTGTATAATTGTTCTAGTTGTTCATTGATTATTTTAACTTTGTCTATTGCAAATATAATGATTTCTAGTTGTGATATTTGTTTTTCACTTATATTTTCCATCTCCTGGTTTATTTTTTCACTACCTTTAATCCATTCTACAGATTTTCGTTGTTTATTTTTTACTCTTTTTGCTCCTATTTTATGGCCACATGGCGTAGTAAGCCACCAGTGTATTTTTGTTATTATATGTGGGTAAAATCTATCTAAAAATGGCATTCCTAATAACATATCTTTCGTGGTAAATTCGAAATTATACATTTCTTCTATTGTTAGTATTTTATCCCATATTTGTATTTTTATATTTTTTGCTTTATATTTGATCATACTTCCTTCATTATTAAATCCTGTTACTACCATAGGTGTTTTTAATTATTCCCATTTATCTTCTGGTAAGCAATTATATTTACATATATTCGCTTCTGCTCCTGTATCTATCATAGGTGTATAATATCTGTTGTGATATCCTTCTACAATAATTTTTACAAGTACAAATATTTTCATTAATCATTTGGTTCTTTTTATAATTATTTTCTTATTTTGACAAGTTATTGTTAATTGTTCATTTTCTATGTTGTATGGTTTAACCTTTTCTAACCATTTTATTCCTAATGTGATATTATGATTTCCTTCATATATCTTAAATTGTATTTTTAATTGAATTCCTCCTATAATTATTTCTTTTTCTGTTGTTTCTTCATTTGTATTTACTATTTCACTAGGTAATCCAGGGCATATGTGTCCTGTTTTCATAATTTCTTCTTCTAATACTAGTTCTCTTGTTATATGATTTTCTTCTTGTCCTGTGTTTATCAAGATTTTATATTTTCTCGGGTCCATTATTCCTGTTATAAAATAATGATATATTGTCATTTCTTCTAAATCTTGTGATATTTCATATTTTCTTTTAGATGAACTCATTCTTGATGAGGAAGCTCTTCTTAATGTATTTGGTACGCTTGAAGTGCTTAATCTTTCTTTTACAATTTCTAAATCCAACCTTGGGTTGTTATTTCTATTATCTCATATGTTACCAATTTTTCATAAATTTCTCTTTTTATATCAGTACTCAGATCTTTTAATATATAGAGTAGTAATATCTTATAGTTATAATCATCATCTATTAAATAGGTACTCATTTTATTCATCTTTGCTAAAATTTTTATTCCTTTCAACCTCTTAATGGATTATACTTATTTATTATGAAATAATAATGATTTAATAATCATCTCGTCTAGTCACTACTACAGCTTTCTTCTTTGATTAGTTACCTTAACAGCGCCTCAACTTTGTTTACTCCCCTAAATGGCCTTCTTGCCAACCGGTTTCAACCTTAGGATGGCATAGTCTGGGCATACTTATTCGAAGAATATTTCTGTAGCAAACCTTCTAAAGATGCTTATTAGAACATTATTAAGTCATGATAAACAATTATAATCAACAAGAGATTTTCAGGAGTAAATTTATTTAGCTATTCATAAATTTAAGAGTGTATACCTGATTTTGTAGATTTGTAGCTCCAGATTTCTCCATAGTTATTAGCTTAGTTAGTTAGCTAGCGAGCTCTGATACCAATTTTAGGGGGGAAGCGGGAAAGAGGAAATATTGTAGAGAGAAGATTGATGATTTTATTTATGAGGGGAAACCCTCTATTTATATACATACATAATGACCTTTCATCTTTACTAAAAGACGATTGACCTTTTCTATTTACACAGTTACTTGACCTTTACTATTTACACAGTAACTTGACTCAGAAATAAGTGACATAAGTGAGACATACACAGAAATCTTAGAACAGATATAAACTAAAAAAATTAGAAATAAACACTGGAGATATGAATAGACCCAGTACGTCAAGAGTCAAAACCCCAGATAATAAGGAGAGGTGATAGTTCTCAACATTATAAGGGAACAGGTCAACAATATTCAGGACAAGAGTATCAGAAAGGGAAGAAGAATGGGGATCAACAGTGTGAGTATTGCAAGATAAAGGGACATGTGAAGAGGAATTGTTTTAAACTAATAGGATATCCAGCTGACTGGAAATTTAAGAAGAAGGAGAACCTGAACACTGCTTACAATGTTCAAGCTGAAAATACACAACAAAACGTGAAATCTGGAATCAGAAATACAGGAGAAATACTGGATAAGATGGCATCTGGAGAACTTCATAGGGCTCCTCACTTGACAGATACACAACATGATAGCATTTTGGGCATGATCAACAATGACAATTCACAGCATGGTATGATGGCTAATATGGCAGGTATGGCAGGAAATACTCCAATAGCTAAAATTAAAGATTTGAAATGGATTGTTGATAGTGGAGCAACTAATCATATGTCTTCTAGCCTGTCTAATTTAACTGATGTGAAGTTAGTTAAATCAGATTATAATAGGGCAGTACACTTGCCGAATGGAGGAGTTACACTATTACACATACTGGAAGTAGTAAAATTATAGACAAAGGAGAGTTGAAAAATGTTCTATTTGTTCCTGATTTTCAGTACAATCTGTTGTCAGTATCAAAGTTAACAAGAGAATTTCATTGTTTTGTATCTTTCTATCCTGAATTTTGCTTATTCCAGGACCTTTCAACTGGGAGACTGAAGGGGATTGGTAAGGAATATTATGGGCTTTACTGGATGGTGCCACAGAATTCAACCAAGTCTGAAAGTACTAAAGATGTGGATACAAAAGGGTTCACAGTTCAAGATGATAAAAGAGATATCTTGTTGTGGCATAGAAGATTAGCTCATTCTTCAATAAAATCTGTACAAGATATTTGTGGGCGTACAATAGATGCTTGTAAGTCTGTTGTAGATAATTGTGAAATATGTCCATTGGCCAAACAAACTAGACTTCCTTTTACAAACAGTGATATTAGATCAGATAGAGCTTTTGCTTTGTTGCATTTGGATGTATGGGGTCCCTACAATACTCAGACTTTTGATGGGAACAAATATTTTCTTACAATTGTTGATGATTACTCCAGAATCACTTGGATTTTCCTACTGAAGTTCAAACATGATGTGTTGATAGTTCTCAAACAATTTTTTCAACTAGTGCATACTCAATTTAATGCCTCAGTTCAGGGTATTAGAACAGATAATGGTGGAGAATTTTGCAATGATCAATTACAGACTCTTCTTAAGGATCTAGGCATTGTGCACTATAGAACTTGTGCTTATACTCCTCAGCAGAATGGTGTTGCTGAGATAAAACACAGGCATTTACTAGAGGTGGCAAGGGCACTCAGATTTCAGAGTGGTGTTCCTCTTAAGTTCTGGGGCCATTGCATTCTTACTGCTGTCTATATAATCAATAGCCTTCCTTCTAAAGTACTTGCAGGTAAGTCACCTTATGAAGTTTTCTTTAACATCAAACCTTCTCTTATACATTTGAGGACATTTGGTTGTTTATGCTATGCAAGCATTTTGCCCAAGTTGGATAAATTTGCAGCCAGGGCAGTGAAAGCAGTGTTTATGGGGTATTCTAGTGTGACTAAGGGGTACATATTATTTGATCTTGAGAGACAAAGATTTTTCTTGAACAGAGATGTTCTTTTTCATGAATATCAGTTTCCTTTTAAAGAATCTTCCTCTTTTGATGCTAGTATTACTGCTAATGATACTAGTATTGATAATGATGTTTTCACTTACCCTATCACATATTCCACTCCTAATTCTCCTATTATATCCTCTACTCCCTCTGTCTCTTCTCCTTCTACTACTTCATCACATACTCCTTCACCTTATGATCCTCCACTTCCTGTTTCTTATACTTCTGCACCTATCAGAAGATCTAATAGACATTCTTATCCTCCTCTATGGTTAGCTGACTATGTAACCAGACCTGCTCCCACTTCCACACTTTATCCCTTGTCCAATTATGTCTCTTATACAAATCTGTCTTCATCTCATCAACATTATCTAGGTGTTTTCTCAGCTATCATAGAGCCTTCAACATATCAGGAAGCTATTAAAGACAGTAGATGGATTGATGCTGTGCAGTCTGAAATACAAGTTCTCCATGATAATCATACTTGGGAGTTAGTTCCTTTACCTCCAGGAAAGGTTCCTATTGGTTGTCGTTGGGTTTACAAGGTTAAGTTGAAATCTAATGGTGATATTGAGAGGTTCAAAGCTAGACTAGTTGCAAAAGGTTACACTCAGAAGGAAGGTTTGGATTTTCATGAGACATTTTCTCCTGTAGTTAAGATGACTACTGTAAGGACTGTTTTGTCTTTGGCTGCTCAGTTCAATTGGCATAATTATCAATTGGATGTGTATAATGCTTTTTTACATGGTGACCTGCATGATGAAGTTTACATGCAATTACCTGAGGGATTTTCAAGTCAGGGGGAGTCTAATGGACTGGTGTGTAGACTTATAAAATCCCTATATGGGCTTAAACAAGCAAGTAGGCAGTGGAATTGAAATTATGTGAGACATTATTAAACTCAGGTTTTATGCAAAGCAGTTTGGATCATTCATTGTTCATTAAGAAGCAGGGAACATATATTGTGGTGATCTTGGTTTACGTGGATGATATGCTAGTTGCAGGAAGTAATTTGACACTCATAGAACAAACAAAAGCTTCATTACATAAGACTTTTAAGATCAAAGATATTGGTGATCTAAAGTTTTTTCTTGGTATGGAATTCAGTAGATCTGGAAAGGGAATTTTAGTCAATCAAAGGAAATATGCATTGGAGATTATTTCACAGTTGGGAATAGGAAGTGCAAAGCCATCCTGGACACCACTAGAGACAAGCATAAAGATAACAACACATGAATTGGATAATTTGATTGGAGAGTCAGATGAGGAACTTCTTGAAAACAAAGAACAGTAGGAAAGATGCTATACTTAACACTAACAAGGCCAGACATTGCATTCTCTGTTCAGACCCTCAGCCAATTTTTGCAACAACCAAAAAAATCTCATTGGGAAGCAGCACTTAGGGTGATGAAATATGTGAAAAGAGAGCCAGGTCTTGGCATATTATTGAGCAGCACTAGAACGAACAGATTGACTGTTTTCTGTGATGCAGATTGGGCATCGTGTCCTAATACTAGAAGGTCAGTTTCAGGTTTCTTGGTAAAACATGGTAATTCTTTGATATCATGGAAATCAAAGAAACAAAGTGTGGTTTCTAGGAGTTCAGCAAAAGCTGAATACAGAAGTATGGCTAATGAAGTGTCAGAGGTAGTGTGGATCACAACATTGTTAAAGGAATTGGGAAGTGAACTTGATGAACCAGTGGTGATATTCAGTGATAGTAAAGAAGCATTACAAATAGCAGCCAACCCTGTTTTTCATGAGAGAACAAAACATATAGAGATTGATTGTCATTTTATTAGGCAAAAGATGCAAGAAGGTTTGGTGAAGACTGTATATGTGAGTTCTAAGAATCAATTGGCAGACATATTGACTAAAGGTCTTTCTAGAATCCAACATGAATATTTGGTAGGCAAGCTAGGTGTGTTAAATATTTTTGTACCCACCAGCTTGAGGGGGAGTGATGAAATGCAAGGAATTACTTGAATGAGTAGTATAATTGTTAGGGGTAGATCAGTAATTGTACAGTTAGTTAGTTAGACAATTTGTTAGTTAGTTAGAATAAACAATAGGCTGTGTAAAGGTGTATAAATAAGCATGTACTGTAAACATTTGCATTTGAACTCTCTAGAATAAAAAATCTTCTTCTTCTTCTTCTTCTTCTCCTCTCTCTACTTTCATCATCTATGAGTTTCATCAGTTATTTCCTTTTGCATGTGCTAAATTCCATATTTCAGTGTTGCCCCCCATCCGCTTGAATTGTTTCAAGAATATTCTGTGTGGTTACAAGTTGCGCTTCCAAAGAGTCATGCCAATAAGTGATTTATGTCTAAGTATCACATATAACGTAAGAAACTCGTTGTTTGATTTATATCTAGAAAAGTATAATTTCAATTTCTTTTACATTTCAGGAAAACAAAGGATGAGCATTATAGGAAGAAAGATTGTGATCTTGATCAACATCTCGACTTTGTTGTCGCATTTACAGAGAAAAAAAATTGATTTTACACCATGTCAGTTGCTGGCAATTATCGGTATGATGAGGTAATTTTATTTTTTTAAAAAAATTACAGAGCTCTTAATATAATTCATTAGGTTACTGTGATGCCCTAACATGATATGTATCTCAATAATCAGACATAAGTATTCTCATTTTGTGATATGCATTTGGAACAAAAAAATTCTATATTAAAACCAATAACATAGTTCATTTTATAATATGTATCTGACTATCTTCATCAAATTTTTTTATAGCACATGAACGTTATTTTCTACTATTTAAGAAAGAAGTAAAAGTTCCAATCAAACGGCAATCCCAGATATACTACTGTAATGTATCATTTTAAGTCCCTCATGGATGATATTTATCAGACGTATAAAAGCAGAGATTGCTAAGATCATATTTCTTTTGCCTTCTCATCTGACTCTTAGTGGTTTCTTTTACAAATGTGAGCGTATTCATTGGTTGAATCTTGAAGTATAGAAAAACAGTCGAAGATGTCTTTGAAATTATATTTCCAAGTAATAATGTTAAACGTTACAGTGGTTCGATGTGTGTATTTCTTGACTTTTCATATATATTTACTTATGGTTAGTCATGATTGTCCATATTACTAATTTGGTGTTAATTTTTCAGTGACTGTGAATTATATTTAGCTGCATATGCTGAGTATCTGACTGATGGACAGCTGATACCATTAACAAATTATGATGTCAATCTACACCGTTCGAGATACAGTGCACTTTTATGAAATTATGAAAATAAAAAAGCCTCGTCTAGTTTAGTCAGTGATAACGAAGACCCGCCTAAGCCAAGGAACACGTTTGTTGACTCATATGGCATTGAAAAAATTAATATAGATTAGTCATCTGAAGTTTTTCTAGATTCCCCTTATTGAACTTGTTAAGGTTATTTTTATTAGATACATTAAGATACGTGGTTATAATGTATCTAAGTCGTTTCTCATTCGCATTTCATCCTTTCTGTAAGGTTATGAACCTATACTTTGATTATCTTTATAGAAAATGTTGTTTAGATTATACGTGTAATCTTGTTTACTTATAATAGCTCTTATTAAATTCATGACACTACTTATCTTGTTAAGTATGACATATAGATTTAGTTGAATCTTAATGATCATGAAAAGAAGCTGAATTTGTACAGAAGTGGGTCAATTCCACCTACTATTGAGGGTTCGTTAAGTGCAGTGGAGCTGAAATACATATGCTACTATTTCTTGTATTTGTTCTATATGAATTTTATATCTATCAATATCATAACCTCTTTACACAATGTGAGTCATATTTTTTGCATATGATTCTATATACGCGTATACAATAGGATTTCTTAATCAATATCTGTGATGAAGTTGAATGTATCATTTCTATCAATAACTTATTGTAAACAAAAACAGAAAAATGCCAAAACTTTATCATACTTGCCATAGAATCCATGGAAAGTCATATCGAATTTCAAGCAAGACTAAAAAACATCCAAATGTATAAGAAAATAAGAAAATTTATCTCTTTCATTGGAAAATAACTAAAAGTAGGTCGACTGTGACCTTCTTGACCACATTGTCCACAACAATTCGTACTTGATGATTTTTTTTCACTCATGTTCTTATGTCTGCTCTTTTTTGGCCTCCCTGGTGGTCGCTTTCATTTAGGTGGCAAAACTTCATTCAACACACTATCAGGTACATTTCAATCTTTTTCATCAGGCAGCCAACCAATTAGAGTCTCATATGTACTTATTAGTGTTGATGGCTTGTAGTAGTCTGAGCAGTATGGTTCAAACTCAGTTATGTTTTTTCTCTTAAAACTGTAATTGAATGCGAACACTCGTCTGATTGGAACCTTCTGCAACTACATGTTTTACTAATCAAGCAAACAATATATCGTCGTCCGTTATCATCAACTCCGTACAATGATTCAGAAGAAGGTCTCACCTGAAAGGTAGCAATCCTGCCAATATATATATATAAATTTCATAATATTACGAGCAAAACATTTTAGATACATATTTCATGTATCTAGATACACTTGATGTAATATATCTAAAGTTTCTTCAGTAATATCATATAAAAAGAAATAATTAGTATAACAAATAATATGTACCGTCATATGTGATGACTTTGTCTCATTCACAACTAACATCTCTTGGAATTTTTTTCCAAGGGTAGTAAATGTATATGTTGCCTTTTCTCTATTTCTGCAATTTCAATCTCCAAATAATATTCGAACTTTCTCCAGAAAATAAATTATTGGTAGTTCTCCTGTCTCCATTAAACACGAGTTGATACATTCTGCGATATTGGGTGTAATGATCCTACCTCTATTTGCAGGTGCATATACTCTTGCCTACTTCTCATAACCTGCCAACATAAGATAATTCTTCACTCTATGATCCATATCCTCTACTCTCTTCGTCATTTTATTAAAATTTTCTTGTATGTATGCTTTTGTTATTGCATAAAATACATCTCTTAATGTATTTTTGTTGTTCTTGTAAAATACTTACACACATTCTGTCAAAGATGCCAAACACGCATAATAAAGCACAGAAGGATACACTCTACTCACAGCCTTTATAATATTTTCATGATGATCTGACACAACACACATGTTGACACGTTGACCAAAAGCGCCTTTGAAATGCTCATAAATCATGTTCAAGAATTATCATTCTCAGAGTCAATTACACCATAAGCAAGCAGTAGTATACACCCTGTAAAACAAATAGATACATGACATTATAAGTATTGTTAAATATTAGTAATTAATATAATGAAAGACAGATACACATATAAGATATTCATTCTTTCAATAAAATTAACACACCTGCTCCATCCAGAGAGGCTAGCAGAAACAAATGTGCCCTTATAAGCTCCTTTTAGGTGAGCTCCATCCACAACAAAAATTGGTCTACAGTGCTCAAGACCTTTTATAAAAATATACAACGCTATAAATAGATACATGAATTCATTATTTTTTGACTTATGAATTCGGATGTAAGAGTTTGGATATACAGTATCCAACATATACAAGTAGCTAGGCATCTTAATGTAACCCTCAGTTGGACCTCCTCTTAACATCTTAATTGTTCTCTCCTTCGAACGTCATGCCTTCAAGTAATTAATGTCAACTCCCAAGTCACGTTTAACATCTTTCTGAATGTTCTTTGGAATATGCTTTCTTTTATGATTTTCATATTTTGGAGAAACTATTCCAGGTATTAAATCAACTGTTGCTTGACGCTGCAACATCATTTTATCTTTAATGGACATGTATGATCGTTATTGAAACACTTTACTCGAAAAATAGTTGTCTTATTCAAACAGGATGCTTTGAATATCAATTGGTACTCTCCAAACATACATTTCAAAAACTAACCGCACACAAATGCACTCATTTACAATAGTTGAGGCTACCAAATACATTATTAAATATATAAGATATAAACTACTGAAACTTAACATTTTATTGAATTCATTATAATGCTACTCGCAACAAAAAATGATAAATTTATGACTCTTACACAACATACCAGATATACAGAAATGATACAACCACCAAAACAACAAACATGACTAAAAAATTATTGTCCAAGATACACAGTGTAAATTATGACTCTTACAGATAATTCCAGACACAAAAACAATACAACCAAAAAACAACAAACATGATTAGCCACTTTTTGTTCGAGATACATATTATTTGTCTGATATACACAATATAAATTGTGACTCTTAAACATAATATTAGATACACTGAAACGATACATACACTAAAACAACAAATATGACTAACCTCATTTTGTCGGATCTTGCAACCTTGTATTGGAATCGATTGTCTATGGCATATTTTTGCATAACAGCCACAATACTCTTGTTGTTCTTATACAACTGCTTGATTTGAACAAATTTGTGACTACAGTCACCAATAACATGATCCGAATTTATATTCAAAATACATAATGCATCTGCACTACGATTCTCTGGAAGAACTACAACAGATACATTCACATCGTCACCTCCAACTTGAACAATTGATGTATCTAGCTCAAACGCAATTTCACCTCCAAAATTGTGATATTTTGTTGTTATGCACAATGAATACTTCCGGCAATTTGTTTGACACCTTTTCAGTTCCATAAAAAATCTCATGCTCATTTCATTTTGGATTTCCATTGGAGTTAGATTTTCTTCCATCGTGTATCTGATCTCCATTCTTTTTCGAGTACAATCGATTTCTAATTGTGCTCAAATACCATCCACTAGATCATCGTAGTTTGCATTATCTCTCAAAAGTATCCCATCAATTTTGTAGTTTTCATATTCAATTTCAGATACCTATGAATCGGAATGCCTCAATAATATTGTGATATTCGCCATAATCAAAAGAAAATTTGAAAATTTAAAGATAGAAAAGAGTCTTAATTTGACGAAGAAGATGTAGAAGTTCAAAAAGTAATTTGATATGTAAATCGTCGATGATAGAAATGAATCCATGAATTACGTTATGATTGTCATATCTTCTATAACTTACTCCTTCAATTAAGGGATTATCTCCCACGATTAATTCAAAATAATTAAGGAACGTGTATCCTGTAATTTAAAACATGTATCCCTCCTTTCAATTTTAATTTAGTCATGTATCTTAGAATTATTGCATATGTATCTTAGGAACAAAAAGTGGTATAGGAAGTAATATGGAAAACTAGTGGGATTTCTAGTAATTGTTTTTTAAAGTAGTGTGATATATGTAGTTTACCCAATTAATTAATCAAATATAAATAAAAAGTTTGACTTAAAATGAGTATGAGAGAATATATATTTTTTTTAATTTTAATTATGAAAACTTAATAAACATTGTAAGTTTTATTTAATTTTCTAAACATAGAAAAGAAATTTATTTTTAATATCTAATAAAATATTATAAATCCCAATGAATTTTCAAACAAAACAATTTTTCATTTATTTAGAAATAAAAATGAAAATCGTTTGAAAGTAGGGGGGGGGGGGAACGTTGTAATATGGGATCGAACCCGCAACCAAGAATTTAGGTAGCGAATTCTCGAACCCCTTTTAACACTGAGCCAAACCCTTGACTTAGGTTGAGGGGTTCATCACTTAGTATATACATATAAATCAAAAAATTGATCCTATATATATCGTGTAATTTTTTCAACAAAGGGGTTTGGAATCCCCTCGGATCCATGTAGATCTGCCCATATATATATATAGAGAGAGAGAGAGAGAGATATGTATATATTTCTTTGTAAAACATTTATTTCTCTCCTCGCTTTAAACTTTATTGTTGATTAAACGTCCTTTCATTTGAACGTCTTATTTTTTTATTTTTTATCTGACTTTCTTCACTTAGATTGATATCAGTCTAAATTAACTTATTTTAAATACAAAATATTTGGATTTAATTTAAAGTAAAAGCAATGAACGAAGATTTAAAAAAAAATTTAACTACAAGGCAACAATTTTTTTTTTTTAAAATAAAGTATGTGTATTAACTTAATTCATATTACAAGATAAAATAAAAAGGCCGTAAAGCGAAGCTACACCGTATGCTAAATTATGATTGATCGTCTCAAGTAAAGATTGATAGGACTCAATTATATTCAACATTTTCTGTTTAGGTTTGATTGTGTGTTAGTTTTATAATTAGAATAGAATTTATTGTTGGATAAACTATATTGTTGATATTAATCCAAATAAACTACCATGGCTTCAATTAGTCACGAATGATCAACCATCATACTATATACAAAAATTGAGTTGGTTCGATTTATTATTATATTGAAAAATCTATTTGGCTAGCATGGTAAAATAACATATTTTACATTATGTTATTTTATTTTTTTGAATATTTTTATTCTTGCAACTATAATATCTTTTTAATTAAAGAAGGAAAAAGTTAGTATATTTTAAAATAAAAAGGATATTATGGACTTTTTAAATTTCTTACAAAATTTTCTGACTTAGACCAAACTAGAACTGTCAATATGGGCTGGTCCACCCCATCCGAGCTAACTCATATAAGTTTTAAAATTTTACGGGTCAGGCCGGACTAACCTGTTTCTGTTGTGGACCAGAAAATGGTCCGTCCATCCACAAGTACGTGAACTACGGGATGGCCGGGCCAGTCTCTTTTTTTTTTTAAAAAAAATTACGCGGTTAAGTAAACTTATACTACTTAATTACTCATAATCGCTACAGTTTGCTATAATACCACTCACGACTAACATTATACATTAATAAGTGAGCTGACTTTGAGTTTGAATAATTAGCCACATTTCTATATGTATAATTATCCAGAAAATACAAGTACATATGTACAATATACAATTATTTACTCGCTCGCTGATACGCTCAAACTTACTTCTCAAATAAGAAGTAAAGCGATCGTGTCAAGTAAATAACCCAACTAGTGAGGTTGAGATCGTTCCCACGAGGAAAATAGTTTAGACTTAACTTCAATCTATTATTATTATTGTTAGTCAATTACTTCCTTGGAAAACAAAAATGATAAAGGGGGGGTTTTCTATTTCTGAATAAATGAAAATAACTAGCGAAATTAAAGGAGACAACTAACAGCTTCAAATGTTGGAGTTTAATCAATTAATCAAAGTAACTAGGGTTTACGTGTCCCCACAGGTTCATAACTTGATAATTCTAACTATAACAATTCTTTCCTAGTATCTTGCATGCAAAGTGATAATGTATTTCTAAATCCTTGGTCCGGCATCTAGAAAATTTCACTTCGCACCTTGGTCCGGCTACGTGTGTTGCTATACTAACCCTTACCTTTACCTCATATTAAGCATCATATTCGATATTTGACTAAGTTATTATCTCGTACCAATCAATACTAGCCTATTCGATAGTATACACTAAATCTATGTTGATAATTCTTTTACTATTATCTACCTCCTTGGTTCGGCAAGTAGCATTAAGGCGAGTTCTAACGTTGGTCATCCATTAAAAAGACTTCTAAGTGAAAGAATTATCAATACATGCAAGACACTATTCTAGAATTGTTATTTTAGTTAGTTTTTACCTCATTATTCGCCTATGGTTCCCACAACCCTAGTTATGGAGTTTAGTTACCCATAGTCATAATCACAATATTCAAATATATAATATATGAAGTCATGTACTTACTTCAATGAGAAAGAGTAAAATCTGAAAGTTCGCTTGATTAATCAACAAAAATCACCAACAATCAATTACAAGAGCCTCAAAATATTCAAGAGTCTGACAAAGGGTCTAAAAAACAATCAAGAGTCTAACAATGATCAAGGGTCCAACCAAATAATCCAGACTCTAACCCCAAAAACGAGGTTTTTTCAACTATTTATAAAAAATAAAAACCTAATTAAATAAGGACTCTATTTGCTGAAAATTTGTCGAAACACGGCTGGGTCGACGGACCTTGCGATGGATCGTCGTGATCACGATGGACCGTCATGGACTCCGTCATCCCATACTTGTGATGGACCCTTGAAGACCGGAGATTTCAACTTTAAGAACTTAATGAAAAGTTCATGCTGATCACCTGTCATTATAGACCCTGTAGTCAATCGAGGAAACGTGTCTACTTCCAATGATGCATCCATGCGGGGAGCCACAACATCTGCATGTTGTACTCCCTGAACCTGAGGTACTGGTGCAGAAAACACTGGAGGTGTCTGGTCCTGATCAGATAACCCGCTAAGATAAGTAAGAACCTGATTAATCATCTATGGGGTAGGCTGGGGTGGTACTTCCTTATCCTGAACATGCTCATTTCCCTTTCTTCACCCTCTCTCACTACCTCATTAGTCGGTGGAGGAGTCATTGCTCTATTCCTAGCTGGACCACGTGTTTTTCCTCTGCCTCTAGTGGGCGTCCTCCTGCGACCCCTACCACGGCCTCTGGCCACTGCTCCTCCTCGAATTACAGCGCGAATGGTTGGCTCAGACGCTCCCTGTCTTGCCGGTGTTGGTGTTGGCACAGTTGTTGCTCTAGTTCTAACCATCTGCGAAATAGAGTGAGAATGTCAAATACCAATTTGTATCACCTAGATACCAATTGGATCCAAGTAATAGCACGAAAGAAGGAAAGAATAGAGTTTTCCTAAAGTCCTATAGCCTCTCGAAGAAAAGTAAAGGCGTCCCCATACCGTTCCTCAAGACTCTACTAGACTTGTCCTTGTGTGATGAGACCACGAACCTAACACTCTGATACCAAGTTTGTCACGACCCAAAATGAGTCGTGAGTGGCACCCATGCTTACCTCCTTAGGTGGGCGAACCAACACATCTAAATCCCAACATATACCAAAAGGTTCAACTATAAATAATATAAATAATGCGGAAGCTCCAAAAGATACTTAGCAACCAATTTATATAAGTTTCCAAAGTTTAATACTTATCATCCCAAAATCTGATAGTCATCACGCCAAGGAAACCTATTTTCAAATTACCAAGTCTAAGAGTGTTTAAGAAACCAAAATAAGCAAAAAGATGATCCATGTCCAAAATTAAAAGACATCAAGACGTGAATGAGAGAATCCAGCACGAGCTAGAATTAATAGCTCACCCTGAACTCTGATGTGCTGGAGACTGACTAGAGCTGAGGGAGAGTCGAAGTTGATGGTACACTTGCTGCACTCCGCAAAAGAACAGAGAAGAAAATACAAGTAGGGGCCAGTACAAGGAACACGTATTGAGTAGGTATCATCGGTCAACTCAAAATAGAAATCAATTTATATTAAACAATAGTATAAAATCAACTACAATACTTAACAGGTGGAAAACAACAAACACATGAACCATTGACAACAACACCATAATAGGTACACCATCAATCACAACATCAAGCACACCTATGAGGACTCATACCTCCACACCATACTCATTTGGAAAATAGGTTCTTTGAGATTATGTATATTAAGTTACTTCAGGATTTCTTGTCTTTAATGTTATTGTGTCGAAACGTGATACTCCGATCCCATAATACCGTGTCGGAACGTGACACTCCGATCCAATAATACCGTGTCGGAACGTGACACTCCGATCCAACTATCTCATTATTTTATTTCATCAACCCTTCTTTATTCAAGGCGTCATTTTACTAGAGAGGGTTCAAGATTAGAAATTCAACAATCTCATAATTTTAGGCCAACCACAAACCACACAATCAAGACATACAACCACACAATCAAATACATAGGAGACTTTACAATCTCTATTGAGAGTTTATCTATCAAATAGAAATAAACCATAACCTACCTCCACCGAAGAACTGAAGTCAAGCAAGTTACTTCTCCAATACCTTTTCTTTCCTCAATGCCTCCGAATCTTTCCAATCTATCAAGTATATATGCATAATTTATAAGTTAACGAGTCTATAAACACTTATGTTATTTTATGTGCATCCTAAACCAACAACACATCTAACTTATAATCTTCTTTTCTAAAATTTAAACCTAAGGGTAAGTCTTAATTCCTCCAATTAGCATAACTTTAGTGGAATTTAAATAACCCAATACACCTGATATTTTATTACTTTACTCAATATTTTAATAATTTAATACACCTAATTAAGTGATATACGGACTAGGAATAATCTAAGTCACACGATTTGTAACAACTGCATATGAGGAATATGCAGAACCTGATAGAAATCAACATTTCCCACTACA